AACCCTAACCCTAACCCTAACCCTAACCCTAACCCTAACCCTAACCCTAACCCTAACCCTAACCCTAACCCTAACCCTAACCCTAACCCGCCGTCCTTCGCGCTCTATATTTTGGACCGAAGAATTCACGCTACGCTTGATGCAAGAGCAACTACCATGGCGAGCTGGCTCACGTACCCACTACAACTGACGGGTAGTCGCGACTTTACCTGCGACGGTTTTACTGAACAGCAATGTAGCTACTACATGCAAAAATGGCACTTCTGGTACGCAAACGCCTGTCGCACATCATTGAGCATGTACTAACACCATTTCCCAGGTACATCGCTGACTACGTTTACGCTTTGCCAACCATAGCCTTCTTCTTGAGTGGGCTTGGAATGTTCATCATCGGAAACCTTATATCATCACAAATGTTGGGGTATCGCAAGTTTAGAGGACCTCTCGTCTGGCAGAAGTCTATAGCCTTCATTCGATACCTGTCATATCGTGGCTTCCACATCAAAACACTGCGATGGAACTCGGCACCAGTCGGCGTCCTTCTACTTGGAGCTGTGGGTGCAGTATACTTCTGTTGTGAGTCACGCATCCATGATGTCCTCTCAAGGGGGGTCCTCACTGACGATATCGTCTCCAGGCATGGACCTGGTACCACAGCCCTACTACTGGTCGAGCGAAGACTTCGGCGGCTCACCACCACTAGGGACCAGATCGGGCTGGATGGCATTGGCTTGTATGCCTTTCGTCTTGTATGTCCGTCATAGTTCACACAGTAGTAACATTCTGACCTTGACAGTGCGACGGCAAGCAAGACAAACTGGATCACCCTCGCGACTGGAGTATCCCATGAGAAGATTCAAGTTTTCCATCGCTGGACTGCGTACGCGTTCTTCCTGCTTGCATTGATGCACACATTCCCTTTTATTGTATATCACATCAGATGGCACGACATGGTGATGCAAGTCACGATGATGAACACACTATTCTACTGGACCGGCATTGTTGCACTTGTTTTTCAGGCCTGGCTCACGTTCGCCTCACACAGTGTGATGAGGTAAGTCAATCAATACCTATACATCAGGGGATCGTGACCAACAATCGCAGGCGGATGGGTTACGAGTTCTTTAAAGCCACGCACTTCACTGCAGTCGTTGTCTTTGTGGTCGTATTCTTCTGGCATTGCGACTATACGCTCACTTCCTGGTAAGTGCCTATGTTATCAAATACTTAGCAGGGCTGACGTGCTCATAGGCACTACTTCATTGCAACAGCTGCGATATACGTCCCGTGCTTCGTTTATCCGTGGCTTCGCACCGCGTTCGAATACGGGTTCACTCAAAAGGCATTCGTGGAAATCGAGGGCAATGGTTTCATACGCCTTACCGTCCCATCGGTTAACATGCGATGGAAGCCAGGGCAGCATTGTTTCCTACGGTTCACGAGTTTTGGTCTACAGGCTTTCTCTTCTCATCCTTTCACTATTTGCTCTCTGCCTTCCACACAGTCGAGTGAGAAGTCCGAGCTGGTATTCTACATACGGCATTCGCATGGCTTGACGAAGAAGCTCTATGAACATGCTCAGGAGCATCCAGAAATCTCTCTGCCTATCCTGGTCGATGGCCCATATGGTGGTATCAACATGCAAAGATTGAACGATGCAGATCGCTTGCTCGTCATCGCAGGTGGATCAGGCGCGGGCTGGATACTTCCCTTTCTCGAGCTCTTCTGTAGGCAGCGAAGCACTACAAGCATGGCTGACATGTCGACCGGAAGCAATGTTTCGCCCAGCGACGAAGAGAAGCAATCTGGCGTTGAGCATTGCCGCAAGCTACGCGTCGTCCTGGCTACTCGCGATATCGCTAATCGCACTTGGTTTCTGGAAACGATTGCTGAACTCTTCGCCATGTACTCTCCACAATTGAAGCCCAGCGACATCGATATCGAAATCCATTTGACTGATAAAGCAGAGCGGATGGTCGTTGCCGCAGGTACGAGAGGTTACGAATCGGTTTCCACCTCATCTTCAGCAGGCAACATTGAGGTGGAGGCCAAAAGCGACCAGGTTACAGTGCCAACGGAAGAGCTTGCTGGTCGGCCAAACTTGCCCCATGTCATACAGAAGCAGACTGAACTGACAAGAGCACATGATGAGTCTTTGAGCGTGTACGTCTGCGGGCCGATTACTATGCAGAATGACGTTAGAAATGCAGTTGCGAAGGAAAATCTGGCAATACTCAAGGGTGTGAGGTCCGGCGGTGTATACCTGCATTCGGAACACTTCTCGTGGGCTTGAAGATCTGCTCACTATGTATCATCATCTCTTATATCAATACAGATAGCCTAACCAATATAACGCGACGAGAGAGGCCGTTGTTGCAGCAAATTTCGCTTCAAATAGCCTAGCGTCAGAGATTTTACTAGTAATTAAGGGGCCGACTCGCAAAATTGTTAGGTGCCCAAACCACCAATGTTCGAAACAGTGCATCGCTCGTGGAGGCATCTGCAATGTAAGATACGAGGTGCTGCAAAAACCTTGTCACCGCTCGTGCCACATTCTCCATGTGTTGTATAGCAAGCGCCTGCCAGGGTTGCGATTGCTCAAGAAAGAGGTCGGATGTTATCATTGGACTGAAAGTGCCAGGAAGTTCGCAGCCGTGTGTGCGCTTCATTAGGGCTTTGATGCAGCCGAAAAACTCCATGCGTGTCAACACCTTTACCTCTGGACTGTAAGTCTCCGTAGGTTCGTTGTCGCAAAGATTGGTGATAGCGTAATAGTGTCCTTCGCGCGTCATCGTTCAAGCGAACGACTGGTACATCCGCTCACTTTCAGAACCCGGAATCAAAGTGTCTGGCTCTGTAATCAAACCTAGTGCTCGAGCCTCATTCCTATCGGCAGCTCGAGCTAGCTACAGTACGATCTGGTTGGCGTAGTCGTTCTTCGCGGAGACAACTGTAAGAATGATGCTCCTAGGCTCCTTCGTGTATGACTTCACTACATCCTGCACAAACTCTACATCAGCCGCCGATTGCTGCTTTGTCTCGGAATGGATGAGTCTAGGTTGACGATCGTAAGGTGTCATGTTTCGGGACGTACATCCTGGGATCGATATCATAGGCGAAGCAAGACTGTAGCGTACTAGCCGAGCGATTTCTACCGCCATTCGGCGGACCCTGTTCGCAGGCATATCGCAAGGATGATACTGTTCTGATACTAGCCATAGATTCGATTGTCGACGGGTACCACCCATCTTCATACATCTCTCTTCGAAATGATTCTTTGATTGGCGGTGTCCAGATCACAGACCATAAGAGCCCTTCTTTAGGCATGGAAGATCCTACAATCATCCTTGCGTGCGCGTTAACTAATGCTTCAGCGATGATGGCGATGCAGCAAACCATTGAGACCATGTCCCTAACGCTTCTGGCTGAGATTCTTCGATTTAAGAAAGACAGCTGTGCATAATGTCTACTAAGCGGTCGCTAGTCATAACCAACTTGCCACTCCGATTCCTTTAAGCAGCATTTCTTCTGCTATGGAGGCCTCGACCACCGCTTCCAACGGGCCGAATGTGAGCAGGCTTTGATAACTAGCCGCCAGATATCGGGCTGAAGAATCTTTCGGTCGAGCATCGAGATATTCGCGTAGAGACACAGGCTCATGACCATCATGCGGATATCCCAGCTACTCTGGACCGTCAAAAAGTCAGGAACGACGGGAGTCTTCGTCGCGAGATAACCTTACGACTGATCTCCTAGAAACTCATCTATCAACATCAGTCTAAAGACCTGCGAGCATGCGATGGATACACCGAACATAGAACGTGGCAAAGGCTGTAAGTGGAAGTGATGACCAAGATTGCCAGACAAAGACATACCGGCTCATTGTATTCCGAGCGAATGATCCCCCGGGCACTGGAACATAGACTGATCTGCAAGTGTTAATTGCTGATCCTTTGGAGCGGCCAAAGGCACGAGTTTAGTGGTAAAAGGCTCACACGGTAGCGGGCACCAACATAACGCTGAGCAGATACTAACGGAAAGTCGGGTTAAATGCAGGCGATTTCGGTTCGGTAGATCATAAGAGCGCTGCCGGTGGGTAATTGTTGATCTCACACAACGTGACTTGGTAATCGATAAGACGGCTGAACCACTCGCCAAGCGAGGACATATGTCCTAGAGCGGGCGGGATGGACGTGCATTCACAGAGTTCTATCACACTACTTTCTCCAGATCCAGCAGCCAGGAACCTCATGGCTAGGCCTAAGGCGGAGTGGCAGTTCGTGGTCCGGCAATTGCGGGTAAAGTGAAGATGCGGGGATACCCCAGCCAAGGCTGCAGCACTCTCATATATCCCGTAGGCTCGAGGAGTTCCTGAATAACTACCAGTCATTCTATGCGTAACGATGCTTGTCTTACCTTTATACTTGGGATGCTTGGTGGTCGCCCCAGCACTAGCAGCCCGCCAAAACACTGTCAACTGTTCAGGTCCATCGTCAGGAGAACTGTTCTTAGGCAATCAGACCTCCTCGGTACAGATACTGATAGCCAGCGAGGAATGGCCAGCCGTGCTGAGAGCTGCAGGCGACCTCGCCCTGGACTTTGGTCGTGTAACTGGAGTCAATGGCACAGTCACCCTATACGGAAACCAAACGTCTCATGACGCATCGATGATCTTCAATGTCACCGGCATTACCAGCTTCAGTCTTCCAAAACCACAAAACAGATCGACTGGTGGTGTCATTATCATAGGAACAATCGGCAAATCAAGCATCATTGATTCGATGATCGGTAGTGGAAATCTGGACGTTGAGTCGATCACAGGACGATGGGAAGCATTTTCATCACAACTAGTTCAGTCTCCACTACCCGGTATTGAATCGGCTCTCGTGATCGTTGGAAGCGATCGGAGGGGCGCTATATACGGCCTCTACGATGTTTCAGAGCAGATTGGTGTTTCACCTTGGTACTTTTGGGCTGACGTACCTCCCAAAAGCTGCCACACAGTCAGTGCAATGCGTACAACTAGAATTCGAGGAACACCGTCTGTCAAGTACCGTGGCTTCTATATCAATGACAACGCTCCTGCACTCTCAGGCTGGATCACAGCCAAGTTTCCCGGAGCAGGAGAGCCGCCCATCTACGGTGCAGAATTTCACGCACTTGTCTTCGAGTTGGTCTTGAGATTGCGAGCCAACTATCTGTGGCCCGCAGGTGGAGACTGGACTCAAATGTTCTTCGTCGACGACAAACGTAATCAGCCCCTCGCGGACGAATACGCCGTGGTCATCGGGACAAGCCATACCGAGCCCTTTCAGCGTGCCACGATGGAGTGGTCACTCTTTGGCAATGGTCCGTGGCAATGGACTACAAACAACGCTTCCATTGTCCCCTTCATGCGTGATGGCGCAATCAGGGCCAAGCCTTACGAAAGCATCATCACGATGGGCATGCGCGGAAGTGGAGATACCGCTCTATCCGCCTCGATTGAGACTGAGCTATTAGAGAATATTGTCGACACGCAGCGTGAGATCTTGGCTGACGTTTATGGTGAGAATCAATCCTTGGCTAGTATTCCGCAGCTGTGGTGTTTGTACAAGGAAGTACAAGGCTTCTACGAGGCTGGGATGAAAGTTCCCGACGATGTCACTCTGCTCTGGTCTGACGACAATTGGGGCAATATTCGACGTTTACCAAACGCAGATGACCGCGACCGCCCGGGAGGTGCTGGTGTTTACTTTCATTTCGATTATGATGGCCTGCCTAGAAATTACAAGTGGCACAACACAATCCAGCAACAGAGGACTTGGGAGCAGATGTCTATGGCTTATGAACGCGATGCAAGAGAGATTTGGATCGTCAACGTGGGCGACATAAAGCCAGTGGAGATTCCACTCACCTTCTTCCTGGATATGGCCTACGACTACACTGAATGGGCTGCGCCCGACAGCGGTTCAACCTGGGAACGAATTTGGGCATCAAAGACTTTCGGCGAGTCTTATGCTGCTGATATCAACTATTTACTAGATCGTTTCGGTCAACTCGCTGGTCGAAGGAAGTTTGAGCTCATCGAACCAGATACGTACTCAGTCATTAACTATAACGAAGCCGACATTGTACTCCAAGAGTGGGCAGAACTTGCACAATTGGCATTGGCAATCAATTCCAGCCTGCCTGATTCATACCACGCAGCCTTCTTTGAGCTCATACTCCATCCTATCCTTGCTGGACAGGCTGTACACGAAGTCAATGTGAACTCAGCAAAGAATCTTATCTATGGAATCCAGGGAAGAAACTCCGCAAATGGCTACGCCAAGAAGGTGCTTGATGGCTTCGAAGAAGATCATAACCTTACCGTACGATATCATTCACTCGTCAGTGGCAAGTGGGATCATATGATGGACCAAGCCCATATTGGCTATGTCCAATGGAATCAACCAAAACGACAGCTCTCTCCCCCAGTCAGGTATGTTCAAACGCTTGAACGATCTTATGCTGGCGATCTCGGAGTAACTACAGAGGGTACAAATGCCAGCGTTCCAGGTGATGATCCATACCACGCACTATTCTCGAACCAATTGACCATCCTCCCGGCAGACCCGTATGGACGAACAAGGTTTGTCGATTTGTTCAACATGGGGACTGACACCACCGTCTGGAGTATTTCCGGGCCGTCATATGTGAACTTTACATTCGAAAACGGTGATTCGGCTCACCAAGGCACCATCTCTCCCGGTGATACGGATGTTCGGATATTTCTCAACGTCAACTGGGTCGCTGCCCCGAGTGGCTCATCGAGTACAGTAATCAAAGTTACTTCCTCGACTGGCTATGGCCAGCAACAAGGCCCTTCCAATGGCTTAGGACCATCCTTGGTTTTCCCAATAAACAATACAGTTGTACCTTCAGGGTTTCAAGGCTTCGTGGAGTCAGACGGTTATGTCGCTATGGAAGCGAGTCATTATTCCCGTCTTGTCGGCGATACCAGCAATGGCTCAGAATCCGCATACACGATCATTCCATGGTACGGCAAAACCTTAAATGGTGTCGCATTACGCGATCCTCTTGCGCCGTCATACGTGAACGCAACTACCGCTCCCCTTCTTGAGTACGATTTCTATAGCTTCACGAACACAACCACGACAACACCAACCAACATAACTATGATCTTAGGACAGGGTCTGAATACAGATCCAACTCGGCCTTTGAAGTACGCTGTCGCTATTGATGACTCACCCCGAAAAGTGGTGCAGTATGTGATCGACCAGGATGGCGGTGCCCTTCCGGTAGGGTGGGATCAAACTGTTTCCAATGCAGCTTGGGCTAGTGTAAGTAATACAACAATCGCGCCCGGCAAGCACACTCTTATGGTGTGGCTACTCGAGCCTGGCATCACCCTACAAAAAGTCATTCTTGATTTTGGTGGTGTTAGGCAAAGTTACCTTGGGCCACCGGAAAGTAAGAGAGTATAGTCATTAGGCCGAAGAGCATTCTGGGCCTAATCCTACTCTACTGTTACAAACAAACACAGGATGATCGCCTCGGACCAAAAATACAAGGTTGAGAGCCAACTGTCGCACAGAATGAAGGATAAAGGATTAGTGTAGGGCACCTATCCCATATAAGGCCGCGGGTAATGCATGGTAGTAGAGGGACACGCCAGCAACCCCTCACCTGTGGTTTTGCCAGGTTATCGTTCGGCAAGACTACCCATTGTGGCTTTCGCGCAAAGTAGTATACCAGCATCTCGATTACCCAGCCTCAGCTCTATTAGCTGTCAACAGATGCATATACATAAGTTCATTCTCACAACACTTGATCGCACACAACAACGAAGTTTATTCTTACGCTCACTCAACGATCATTAACCATCCTCACAGTCATGCCGACAAAGACCACGGCCGCTCACCAACGTCCCACCTCGCAGGTTCTTCGCCCATGTAGAATACCAACTCACCTCCTTGTGCGATCTCTCCATGCTTGAGCCAAGCTCGGTCGAGGTCTTCCCCGTTCCAAGTGACTTTCTGCGGATAATAGCTCGTGCTTGACAGATTCCGTGCCAAAACAGTCAGGGAAGTCTCAACCGACGTTCCGCTGAAGAGAGATACGTTTAGTGATGAGAACCGTGGGGAGGATAGAAGATAGAGTGGCTGACCGGGCATGGGGTACATGCCCACAAGATTGAAGATCAGCCAGCTGGGTAGCGCGCCGCCGTCAATATTTCCCGGGTACCCGTTGCGCGCATCGCTGTAGAAAGAGTCGACTGTGGCGCGTGTCTGATTGACTGTCTTCCAATGCATTCCAGGTATGTAGTTGTAGAGGAACGGCGTCGCGAAAGATGGTTCATTGCCGGGGTTAAAAAGGGCGGATCCAGCGTCGTTATTCGCACCAACCGATGTGCCAAAACCAGGGACGAAACTGGCGTCTAGTCGACGGACGAAAGCCTCATCACCGCCCATCAGGTTGATGACTTGAGCCATGTCGTGCGGAGCGACACTAAATGCAGTCTCCCAGACCTTGGCCTCATATATGTCGGCATCCCAACCGCAAGTACCACAGCTTAGTGGGTCATACGCTGTGACATTCCACGTACCGTCGGCATTTCTGGCACCTGGAAATCCAGTGAACGTGCCGATACCGTCAAGAGTTGTGTTAGCCGTGGGATTCCATTGATTCTGCCACCAGCTCGCCCGGGCATGCATTTGATCGACCGCATCTTGAGATTTATTAAGCCCTCGCGCCATACTGTAAATCGCAAAGTCGTTCTGCGGGTACTCGACGCCACGAGAGATGCTGCGAGTGTGATTGCGCGTGATGAACTGGAGGGACAGATAATCATCCAAAGCCCCTCTTCCCTCCTTGGTCGCTCCGTCAAATGCTACCGGATCAAGGTTGCGCTCAGGCATTACATTTGCATCTTTCATCACTGCCCTGTAGGCCTCCTGCCAATCGATCGCGCTGTCAAGCTCGCCACGGCCTGCCTCACCGGATAATGCGCGAACGCTCTTTACAAAACCGTCGGCCAGCACGATATCTGCGTGTGTACCACCTTGAACTCGGCCGTTCCAGTTCGCTGCCCGTCCGGCCGGTAGATAGCCTTCCTCGGTGAAGATTGAAATCAACCCAGATAGGACGCGAGAGTACGGTTTTGTGAAGATCAGATGGTACAGAGGTAACAAGGTCCGGTATGTGTCCCACAGAGTCTGTAGCAATCAGTTTCCAGAACATTGTTGTCAAGGTGCTAACTCACATAGTGGTCGTCATAATACGGCTTTGAATCATTCGACTCCCACACAGGGTTTTCACCCGTTTTGTCGGTCGGCATCAGACCCGTCTGATACAGGGCTGAATATAACATTCGTTTCAACGTCACGTTATTGCTTGTCGCATCCCCGTCGTCTCCGATCTGGATTTTGCTCAAAACTTTCGTTTCCCATTCCTGTCTCGCTTGGTCTACGACGTCCTCGAATAATCTTGCATCAGGAAGCTCGTTTTCAATATGTGAGCATGCTTGAGCAGCACTGATATAAGAGATGCCAAGTTTGGACTCAAGCGTAAGGGTACCGTTCACTCGTGTCTCTGTCGGCGACCAGCTGAACAGAGCACCAAGGCCCATTCCGCTTCCAGAGTAGGAACGCACGTCAGGATATCCCCTCAGCACCGGTCGAGTGGTCGGCGCCGAGAAAGGGTTGTATTGCCAACTGAAAGTGCCAGCACCAGGTGCGATACCTGGGTGTTCGCCCTGTATATAGTCTGATGTTGGGGTCAATACGGAGTTTGCGGGTACACTGAAGTTTCCGCAAAAGTGGATCGTGTGAGAATCAGGCTGTGGCCATCCGCCCGTGTAGGTTGCAGATCCATGGTACGATGGCAACGCATTGAGAGACGATGCAATATGCAGCTCTCCGCGCAGAAACTTTTGCGAATAGGCCATAGAGGAATAGGCTGGAAGAACATGCGTAAGGTCTACCAGTACGTGCGCGTCCTGTTCACGGGTTGCGTCGGCTCCTGCCATTGTCAAAGTAGATGAAACATTCGAGGTCGCTTCCGATTGTGGGAACGTGTATCGCATAAATCCAGTGTGGTTACTGGAAGTTATCTCAATCTTGATGCCATTCTGCAGAGTCGTGGTAAATAGGCCTACTGTCGCAGATTCCAAGTCAAGACTGCGATTCTGGGCATAGGTCATGTTGTCGGCAAGATTCACAGAGGCCAGACTACCGAAAAGTGGCATCTGCGATATCAAGCCATCTATCTCTTGTCAGTACTATGGGCTGACCGGGGAAGCAGGGAGCCTACACGTTGGCGCTCCACCAGATCCGCTGACGTGGGTCATGCTCACGGCCGTCACGTTGCCTAGGGGAGTGTATCCAGCATTTGCGTCCACTGCACTGCCATTTGGAAGTCCAACGTAGCTCGTATCGATTCCAGGCTTCGCCATCGCCCACGGTAGACTTGCACCAGGAAATGAATTGCCACCTGCAATCGCGGAACCAGGGCGTGAGCCGACGGTCCCGATCAAAGGGTCCACAAACGACCACAAGGGCTCTCGAGATACTCCATCTCGTGAAGTAGCCGAAGCAAGCGATGATGATCCAATCGTTGAACCCAGAAGGAGGAGTCGTGATAGGCAAGGGTGCCGCCGATCAGGTATTACGGAGCGCATTGTCGCAGGACTTAGGGATGCGATCGCGCGAGACGAAAACCACAGCTGGCCATTGCTACTTATTGTACCTCACGGAGTGCACTAAAAGCTCATCTCCGTCACCGGCTTTTCCATGCCGGTGCAACGGCGGGACGTTCATGGTGCCTTATATGTGTGACTGCCAATGAGATTCCAGGATTGGTTCAAGCTGCCGAAGTCGCCCCGGTAGTCATCGTGAGCGGGGACTTCTATCGCGTCCGGTCCTCAGTGCTCCGCGATCGTGTTACTCCGCAATGGTTACGTGACGTCGAGCGATGTGGAGAAGGACCGAAAGCATTTGGGCTGGTAAAGTGGTAGCGCAGTTGAACCGGTCTCAATTTTCGCGAGGGTGGAACGTGACCTGCAAGCGTGCGGACTTCTTTGCCCCGGCGTCAGCGTTCCGATTTCAATCGGAACTTCCGATGAACATCAAAACTTTCACACTATCATCACTTGATTGTGATAGTAGAAGGGGGCCATCTGGTCTTCTGGTGCTTGCATCGCTGGTCCTATCATATTTGTCCTAGGCTCGGCGCATCGTCCCGATTCGTCAGTGTGATGTGACAAGTTGTAGACATGGCCGCCACAAAGCAATGCTCGCTGATTCAGCTTACGGCAACTGTAACGAAGCCCCCAATGAACAGCTCGTGGCGCATCGCATCAGGGGGAAAAGCCTTCTGCTATAATGCTTCATGACGGAAGGGCGTCCCTGGTCACATGAGAGGTAATGGAGACATACCTCGCCAGTAGTTCAGCTCAACTCGTGATACATCAATTACAACTAAATACTGTTGGTCAATTCCCCATACGCTAATACAATGACAATGCGAGGTCGCCATCCTTTTTAGCTCCATCTATGGAAGAAGTAACGAGCCTTCTCAAACACACTGCTGACAAGATGTGCGGGGTGACTCTCCAGCTTGGTGATGCAATAAAGCAAGCTGTTACCGCCCTCAAGGATTGGCAATCTTCTGTTGCCTGGAAATGTAACGACCGGGTTCACCGCAGGGGTATTGAGAAAGCGTTCCTCATCGCTGGGGAAAAGTGCGTCAATGCCCACTTCCCGGGGCTGGATCCCTGATTTCATTTGCTCTATCGTCCTAAGTGACCAGCAAGCCATGGATGCGCGGTAGATCGCTACGGGCCACCATATGGGTCGCGCGTCAACCGGCAGATTGTCGATGAGCCGGAAGATCTGGCCAGCATGGAACAAGATGTAGTTCCCTCCTTCAGAATAACGTACTCGGGTCCACATCTCAGCGCATGCTGATGCTGATGATGGAGGTTCCTCCTTAGCACATTTCTCTATGTCAGGGATGCTTGTGCATACATTTAAGCTGACTAGATGTAGCATGATTATGCCCGCCCAATCCACTGGTACATCCCAGGGGTCATTCTCGCTGTTTGTTGTCGCCTGCGAATCTCGATTGAGAAGTGTAGCTAAATCTTGAACTAGATCCTGTGTCTCTTGTAGGCGGCCTAATACCTTGATCTTGGAAAGGACACGATGCCTGTTGGTCGATCTGTCGTTATAGAAGATGCGAAGAAGCTGTTGCTGTCCCAAGACCATGGCTTGTAGAGGGTGGAGAAGGAGACGCAGATGGTGTGGAGGTGCATTATCACTACCTGTCAGTCGACCTTGAAGAAAGCTCCGGAAAAGACAGTACAATGACGGTAGCTCGCGACCCATTTGGATATCGTTTGCACCAGGCTGTCCAATCCAGTCGTTGTACGATTGTGCGTTCCAGAGATTTTCATCATGAGGTAAAGGCACTTGTAAATCGAAGTTCGAAAGCACGGGAGGAACATCGTGAAGCAAGCTTATCTCAAGGTCCATATAGAACCATGCATTTACATGACTACCAAGGTCAGTTCATATCACTTGATCACGTAGAATGCGGTCCTTACCGATTGCTTGTCTCAACCTCTTTCCATCTCTCCCAAAGGCTTTCGCCATGTAAGCCATGGTTGTTGAACCCTGGCCCGGGATTTAATATCCCACTGCTTTTCAACAGCTAGCCGATATGTTAGCATCACATTCATTCCTTCTGCAAGATAGTGATGACTTACACTTAGATACTGGCCTCGTTTTGACATGGCATACTGATTCTTGTTAGCTTCACGCGAAGGAAGATTACAGATGATACATACCGAAATAAAAGAAGCCTTCCCACTTCGCACGCAGAGTGTGAGTAACCGCAATGCAATCCCTCCCACAATCGGCTGTGAAATGCATCGGCTTTCGAGAACGTGATTCAGTGCGACCATGCACACCTCAATCAAGCCATGTGCGAACACGTGGGACTCATGGTGGTCTGTGAGCATAGCGCCATACGTAATGATGATAATGATCAACAATATGCCTACGTCGACAGCCTCAATCTTCAAGATGTTTTGGATATCGACGGTGGACTCAGGAAAGCCAAGGTAGGGTTGAATCGAGTTAATGCGTGCCGCATAAATCTCAATGAAGTGCATTAGCACGGGCGAGGGAGGCAGCGATACAATGCGGCCAAAAAGGCCTTCGGTAGACGATGATAGCGAGCTGCCAATTTGCAGCGCACGTTGGAGCAATAACTGCACAGTGGCCACTATCCGGTCCCGAGCGTCATGCGACAAGGCCACAGTACTATCGCTCTTGTTACTGGATAACCCATACCAAGCATCCGGCCGGGCCAGGACATCTACTAGATCGCCAAGTACATCATCTGTTGCATCTAGGCTGCCTATTGGTATATCTCGGTTCTTCTTCTGTGAACAGGAAGTCCATTGGCTACTTGCCAGGCCTAATGACACACTGGATTCCATTCGAGGGCTTGTAAGAGGCGGAGTCGGGAGGTAGTTGGTACCGTGGAAGAGCCCCTGTTGGTGCTTGTGCAAACCATTGTTCTCAGGTCCGCGCGGAGAGAGATGAGGTTCGTTTGGTTGCATCTCCGGAAGTGCCATAGATGGGAAGAGGCGAGTAGACGTGGTCACGTCCATAGGCTCGTCACCTTGGGATACGGGATATGGAAATCCCATGAACTCATCGTACCCAGTAATATCTGATCTTCCTTGGGGAAAAGTCGTATCTACAAGCATGTATAGCTCGATATTGTTTGTTCGACCGTCAGGCAAGATGTAGGCAGGAAATTGATCCATTGTTGCGTTTTGGTTGCCATCTTGGCCAACAGTGTTTGTTGGTGTTGTCAAAGGCTTACTGCGCGCAGATGGCGTCCGAGAAGGTCTTCGCCGGCGCGAGGAGCACCTTGGTTGGCATACATAGTTTCTTGAGACACATTGAGAGCATGGCACCTAGTTGCTGCGTTAGGGGCAGTTGCGATCGTCCAGTATTCCGACTTCTCGGTGCTTGAGTAACAACTCGTCTGACTAACCTTGCGGTCACATCGTGCTTTTAAAGTGGCACACCGGGTGCAAGCGATGAGAGAAGCAGCGTTCATCTTGAGGCGATGTTGAGATTTCCGAGTAGCTGGTAACGTACCGGGATATAAGAGTGAATCTGGCGGGACTGTGATGTTCACTCCCTGTAAGGAAAACCAGGATTGGTGCAAAAAGACGCGACAGATACCGGGGGTGGTAGGAGGATGCGAGTAATGAGGATTGCAGGCCTATGCCACCCATGCGAAATATGTTGTTCACCGGTGGCTCTGTCCACTTCCTCGAACCCGTACCTGAATGGCGTGCTGAGACCTGTCCCTGTTGTTACCAGCAGGGGTCGTCAGCTATGAGGTGTCAGACTCACGAATTTGTAGTTAGGCGACTATATGGTGTAGACTCATCTATACAAGAGCTCGATCATCACTTCAGCGTCTCTACAACACCAAACCTTTTCCACGCATCACAGTAAAGCACAGAATCTGCCATAACGCCCTACTCTGACTGTATCCACCTAACCTGACATCAACAATCCGTGAATCTGGTCTTTGCAATCGTGGGGTTTCTGCAATTTCGAGTGGACAATGTCCCGGTAGCCCGCTGTATGGAGAGAACTGGTAACGGAAATAATTCTTTTAAGGCGTGCCATAACGCGGGTAAAGTACGAAAACCACAATTATAAGCTTTTTGGTTAGCATTTATGCATCGGCCCGATTCGTATGAATATCTCCGAGCAAAACGTGGTTATCGATGCTCCCGCCTAGCCATGTCCTGCGCATCTATTAAGTCCCTGTCGTTCTGATGACCTTGACACTGGCTATCGATCATCGCTGTTGCCGGCAGGTTGTGCACTTCAGCACAGCGAAACAACGAACTTCGGCATCTTCTAGAAGCTCTAGCGATATCGGTAGCCCTATTTGAACTCTTTCGAGCTGCTTAATACGCATGAGAACACGACTTACCGCCATTGGACAGCTGCAGTTGTTGCCTTAAACCGAAACCATGGTTTTGTCCGCCTTATATTGTCTAGTCTCATGTAGCTCGAAGGCTCCGTATGTGTCTGTTTGACCTGGCTGACTTTGGTCAGCGTACGCCTGTTCAAAAGTCAAAAGGGGGGGAAACCAACTATGATGAATACTCAAAGCAACAAGAAGAGAACGTACGTGGGGCTTCCAAAGTGGCGTACATATTCTATAGCTATCGAATCCGTACTTCCGTCTCATTTATGGGGTTTCGACCTCTTTCGGTTTCCAACCAGATTCAGCACCCTCTGTATACGTGACCAAAGTCTGCTCAACTACATGAATATGTGATTTCCGTGTTATTCGAAATAGTCCAATTAAACTATCAACTCATCGCGGCTCCCACACGAGCCGTCATCAACTGAACAACATGTCTAGGTATTGGATGCAGGACATGAATTCGCATGTGCAATAATAATTAACCTACCGAAAACAGCCAATATCAACCCTTACTACGTTTATCACTGGAGTGCGTAGATGATGCTTATGATAGCGTCCTGGAAGCTAACTGGGGATCCCGGCAATTGTTTTTTGCCGGTTTCCTGGTTGATGTCATCCCCCTGGGCGTTGATCATGTTATTATTACCTAATGGTAGCAGGTCCGTGCCGTTCCAAGATGTGCTGCAAGTGTTGGTGCTTGCGGATCGGATGTTGATTGTGTAACCGAAGCCGATCCGCTCTCCTCCGTATTGGTGACATGCAACGACTTGAGACGAGCGGATAAGTGGAGTATGTGAGCAGGTTGTCAGATGTTCCATACTAATAGGGCTTAAGATTGTTCAAGTAGTCATACTCAGAAATCCTAACCGATTATGAACAGAATCCGTGCCAGGCAGCAGTGTCTCGCGCGTAGTTAGGGATGAACCGAGCCTGACTAGGAAGGCAGTAAGTGTAAGCCAAGACTGTGATCTCGAGACGAGATCATGAGAGCGCATTGTGAGCTTGAACATTAATGGCTAACGTGGAATCTAAGCCCGGATATAGGACACGGAGTCCAGGTATAAGAAGCTCCAAAAACCCGATATACCTTTCTTCTATCACCCAGCAATCATCGCTTCATCTTCAGACACAAGACACAAACGTCAAATCTTCTCGTGATAATGGTCGCCGTTGGTACTCTTGCTACTCGCATCATCGCGGGTGTCACTGTCCCCGACACTCCTCTTATCAATGCATCGATATCCCTCGCCCGCGAGGCACTCAGCGATCGCCCGTACAATCACGTCATGCGAGCTTGGCTCAATGGACAGACCATTCTTAACAAGATGCCTCCTGAGAAACGGGCCACCGTCGATGAGGAAGCCTTCGCTATAGGTGCGATCCTTCATGACATGGGCTGGTATGTTCAAAGTTCCTGAATCTTTGCCACTCCTCGATGTGATTGACAACATGCTCACTTAATCTAGGGCTTTCGATACTGAGTATGTGTCTGACGATAAGCGCTTCGAGGTTGATGGAGCCAATGTCGCCCGAGAGCTAGTCAGGAAGCAGGGCGCGAACTGGGACAAGCACCGTGAGCAATTGCTCTGGGATGCTGTTGCCTTACACACTTCCCCTGATATTGCAGCTCATAAAGAGCTTGAAGTTGCTTTAGTGTCTGGGGGCACTTTCTGCGAGCTTGCTGGTCCAGAAATTGCAAAGCAATCCTGGGTGAGTAGAGTCTAATTCAACGGCGGGTTTTCGTGGTAGACCAAGCTGATATGTTGTTAGGGCGATCTCATCACTGTGACTCAGGACGAGTGGGCTGCCATTGCTGCAGAATTCCCTAGGGATGGAATGAAAGACTATCTGATTGATACTACAGTGCGTCTTTGCTCAATGAAGCCAGAGACGACATACAACAACTTCCAAGGAGACTTCGGTGAGAAGTATCTTGAGGGTTACTCCCGTGAGGGTAAGAAGATCGTGGATTTGATGGACGCGTTTCTTCCTTGAAGGTGTCCAGGAGGATCATTTGATCAAGCAATCGTGAGTGGGAACATAACGTGGTTTACAGGCGAGTGATGCATCCCACCAACTTTACGCACCTCTCATCTCTCGACCCTCAATAGCTCCACGTTAGATTACCCAATCACAGTCAAATGATACAAGTATTCAATGTCCGCTGTGTCGTCCTGATCAATGCACTCATGGTCGATCCATAAATACTGACATTCTTGTCCTCATGCGAAACGCAAAGCGCGATGCAGGACAATTTTAGGACACCTAACCTCTCTTGGAACTTGACACAGGCTAGAGGCATTCCAGATCATGTGTTCTGGTACTTGCATTACTTCGCATTCAATTTGCACATGGGTCCAATGATACGAAACATTTGTGTAGACTAAGCCTTGCGGATGTTCTTTGGTCGATGTGAGTCTGAAATCAACGTTGTCATTATGGGATGACTGGCCATCAGGTTGAATTGGTGTGAGAAGACGCAGTTGCAGGGGTTTATCATCATGTCGTGTTTGGATAAGGAGAACTCCGGGACTAGTCTGCTGGGTGCGGAGGTCAGGGGCGGGCGAAGAGAATCTTCAGTTGGAGACGATAGACGACATTACATCAGGGGGCGGGGGAGTATGGGTATGAACAATATGTTGGGAATCATCTAAACTTGATGCCCGAAGACTGCCTTAGCTTGCACTATCGATGTACACCATCGCGCACCAAGTACATGAAGATACTATCCTCCTATTGGGCATTCAACGGCGTACCAGGTGTATGCCGCATTTTGATTAGGGGTAAAAGCCTGATCGAACGTTGGTGCAGAGAATCCCAATGCTAGTGTGCAAATCCTTGTTGTGGAGTTGATAGAATAGACACGACAGGTACGGCCTGCAAGAGTATAGTTTTGGCACCGGATCCTGCAAGTGGCCTGGGTCTGCCCGGCAATGTTGGTGTAGGTCACTCCCGGCCTTGGGTTACCGGTAACGCCACATGTAGGTTGTGGTTCAGGCGTTGGAGTAGAAGTAGGAGTGGGCGTAGGTGTGGGAGTGGGGTCAGGTGTGGGAGTGGGAGTAGGGGTAGGGGTAGAGGTCGAAGTCGAGGTTGAGGTAGAGCTAATGATGACATCTGTGCTACTGGAAGAGATGGTACTTGTCGATGTAATAGTCGAGGAAGGCGACGGGGTTGGACTTGATGCTGAACTGCTTGGTTGCACGGTGCTGGAGACAACGTAGACAGCTTTTGGTCGTCAGCAAATGTTACACAGGTCAGGTCAGTGACTCACCATTCACACTATCATTTATAGAACCACCGTTCTTTGTGCTCTTGAGATAGCAAGTACCGTCGCCTTTGCCACCAACGAACGAAGCGGCCAGGCACTGCGCATTTCCTGAGCAAGCTTGTGTACAAGCCTCGAGATTTGCTGCGTACTGGTTGGTGAAATCGCCCCCATAGAAGTCAACTCCACAAGTAAGTGCCAGAGTACGTGCACCATCAGTGTACGAGCAGCCATCGTTCTCCGGGCAGGTAAAACTGGTAGGGCACTGCTTGGGGTCATCTGGCGCTGGAATAGGCATTGGTGAGGAATCCCTAGAGATCACAGCTACTCCGATCACGTTGGAACTAATGGCTGAGTCAATGGAAAGTTGACCACAAAGCAGGCAATTTCATACTTGGGCTGAGCCGCATTGAGCGTGCTTTTGAGGTAGCAGTTACCACCCACGTAGCTTGCAGCATTGCATCCCGTGGTCGTGGAGCATGCTCGGATGCAACCTGCTAACGTAGATGTCTTTGGAAAGATTAGCGGTCAAATCGATACATCTCACTGCAGAGTTGGTCATGCTTACTTGTGCCAATTGCAAATCGCCGCCATAGTAGTCAGTCGCACAGCTGACTTGAAGAGTGGCCCCATTCGAGGTGAGGGAGCATTGGTCGTCCTGGGGGCAGGTGGGGGACGACGGGCAGATCGACGATGCCCGCAGTGCAAGCGCAAATGCGCGGAGGGCAGGTGCCATTCTGAAGTGTGTTTTCGAGAAGATGCGAAGCTTGTCTTGTTGATCGAAAGGACAGCGGGCTTCACAGCTTTATACATGCTTACCGTCACCTGTTACGGCCTGGGCGTACAGGAAAACTGCCTAACGAGGAACCAATGCGTCCATCGAAAGAGTTTGCGAGACTTCAGCTTGGAATTTGCAGCCTTTCGATACTCTCCAGATCTGTGGCTTGATGCTTTGTTCGAAAAAGCATCTGTGATCGCGGATCATGTACATGGGGCTAGCGTTGAGAGTGGGTCGTGGTAATCCGGGGTTAGTTCAGGGGTGCCGCCGCAGCCTAGACCGAGGTCGCGGCTAGAAACGAGAACCACGCGCACGAAGACAGACCTAGCGGACTTCAGAAGGGGATAGCCACCTTTGACGGCATCACCGAAACAGGGTGTGTCGTGAAAGCCTGAAGCTCGGCCTCACCCGACAAGGCCGCGGAAGAGTCTATTCCAGCCCTCAAGTGGCAACCACATCTCGAACGTGACCGCATTGCTGGCGCTTTGGTGCGGAAGGGTAATATTGAGGTTGCAGATGTCGAGTCCATCCACGCTCATCGGAATTCTACTTTGGTATTATCTTCACTATTAGCAAAGTCTGCGACACCGAAGCGCTCGATTGCGCTGGAAGAAACCATCTCAGTACCAGAAAGGCAAGGCGCGGGATGACCTTGTAGATGTTGACGCCCTGGCTCCGGGTGAAGTCAATGTAGCGGTGGGTTTAACGTGACTCAGGCCGGGACCGAGCGTGAGGAAAATCTTGAACTGGCAAGCACGTAGCATTGTGATAGGATGAGTGTTCAGCCAGCGTGGATCGCTCATGGATTTTGTCCTTGGTCAACTGTGTTTTGATGAAGGTTCAGTGAGACCATACTGATACGTACCTAGATAGATTTAGAGTAATGGCCTTCCCATAACCTCGGCAGTGTCTTGGAAAGTACTGCGTGCCAGCTTGGTAAGATTTTCGGCGCTGAGAGAATGCAGGTCATGGATATGGATGTCTGCAGTGTCGCAGAAGACTCAGATCACGTTTCGGACTGACGAGTTTAGATCCTCTATCGTAGTACCGGTATCGACTCTGGTCATGAGTAGCAAGTGCCTGGACTAAATGATGTTCCTGTGTCGAATTTTGGGAGGAATATATGTGTATGGAGGGCAGCAGGTTTATATGCCTGACTGATACAGGAGGATTATAGCGCGGTTGCGCAAAGGCTTTGCAAGCGGACAGGTCAAGTGAATAAGGGTACCTAGGTAGGTGATGATCAACGCAAGAGAGTCGTAGGCTGCACCGACATCAAATGTGGTTCATAGGTCCACCGCGAACCATGGAAGGCAAATGTAGGGTCCCTTCACCTTTGCCAACGCGCGCATTCCAGTAAACACAAACAGTCTGCTGCCTCCACAGATTTGATCGTGCACTTGAACCTCTTCGACACCCTCACTACTTCATACCACACGCTCTCTTTACATCACACTCTAGCCTAGTACTGTTCATCAAAGAAGAGAAGACAAGAACACCACGATGTCTCCAAACGGCCCTGAATCCGTTCCTCACGCTATGGCGAATTTTCTCGTCACGAAACTCACAGATGCTACGATCTGGGTCCAGGAGAAGAACAACGAGAGAAGGGAAAAGGCGCGACGCCTTGCGGATAAGCAAGTAGATCGCGAAGCCAACGATACACGCCGACGCGCATTGGGTAATATAGAGGGCGAGGATAGGAGCCTGATGGGAGACTGGCAAGCCGAAGAGGGAAGGCGTCGTCCACAGGAGAGGGAGAATTAGCGTCTTTGATGGGGCACATGGGTCGGCTCTGTCGTGGTGGAGGAGAGGGGACTAAGTGGGACATCGGCCATGGAGTCTTAGTAAGGTTATCTTATTTCTTCTCTATGCTTAGTACTACACTGTATCTTCACTGCAGAGTTGAGAAGAACGGAATATTACCATTTAGATGAGACAGAGTCACGTTACAAGATCTAATTCATGTAGTGCTTGAGCCTTCGATGGGTCTGCATCTCCATAGGCTACATACAGATACCTTCTCCATGAACCTTAGTGCTGCCGAAACACATCTACTTTGTATGCATCCGGACATCAGCACGCCTCACAACGCAATCCAGAATCTCGACCAGTATGGCAATTATAACCACGCGCACCTGATTCAATAGCTGCTCGCCCATACCGGTCGCTACGCTTGCAAAGAAGAAAATGGGCGCCAAGAATACGTCGCGCTCGACGTTCTTAGTCCAACTCAGCTGTTGCAACACGGCAGTGTACATACCAAGTGCGATCGCCATCCTCCAGATAACGATCAGCAGACTCCTCGGACCCGAAAGCGATGCGCCGAGCAAAGTCACTGCGTACAATGTCAGGACAACCATCTGGGCGTTCCTTGCCAGCAGCGGACTAGTGATAGTGACTGGCCCGATCGTGCTAGGTTGGGCGGACATGTCGTCTTTCTTATCGCTGATACTGGGCCTAGTAGGCTTCTCCGCTTCCAATAGACCGATCCCGTCAACCCTGATCGTGATGTGTACTGACGGGTTGGATCTGGCATCAACGTTGCTACGATGCGCGCGGTCGTGTTCTGCCAATACTTCTGCAATCTTGCTGGTGACGTACTCGCGAATGCTTTGGCTCAAGGACCTGTCGTCGTGGAAGACATTGGATGCAAAGGACTTGCGGTGGCTGCTATGTCCGTCTCCCGCAGTTTCCACGTGCCCGTAGGCAGTCTCGACCGAAGGTCGAATCTGCCCAGACATGGGAAGATCGGCCACAGAGTCGTCTAAAAGCATCTTCTCGAAATCTGTACTCTTCTTCTTGGGACTGGCGTCTTCGGCTGGGTCGCTGTTCTTGGGAGAATTGTGGTTGCCTGTGAACTGATTAGTTGAGCCCAGGGTATGAAGAGCGCGTTAGTTTACCATGTTGTTGCACAAAGCAGTCGAAATGGTCAATACCACCTTCTGTGAATGACCTGTTGTCCTTATCTGACTCGAATTTAGCAGGTCTCACTTGACGCTTTTTGAAGAGGTACTCACTATACATAGCCTCTGCGATCTTTTGAGAGGAGTCCAGTGGCACGCTGCTCCGCTTGTCCGTACCACCCGCTGTTGTTGGAAGAATTCTCTCACTCATGGTCAGTCGGGTCGCGGCGATGTCTTGGTTTGTGTTCTGGGCTGAACGCTGAGAAAGAACGCGCCTCATCGACTGGGAAAATGAACCCTTCTTCTTGACGCTGTTCTCCACCTTCGACTTCGGCAGTGTAGGTTGCACATATGAGGGCGTCGCACTGACAATGTTCAGGTCATCGGAATCATTGCGCGTTGCAGATTCGTTGTTCACTGACTGTCTTCGTGCTTCAGCTACTGTTGATTCAGTATCTATATAGCAACCCTCTTCATCTTTCAAAAGCCGCGATGAGCTATGCGAGGAACGCTCACTGGGCAGCAAACCGACTTGTCGGAAACCTGGAGGCATAGTCGGGATTGGCATCGGGCTTGATCCTGGGGGTAGGAGCGAATTGGTCAGGGCGTCAGGGCTTGAGGATGCGCTCGAGCTGGGTCGATGTTTGAAGATCTCTCGGAAGCGGCTCGACTTGCGCTCGGCTCTTGGTGTCACGTTGGCGGGAGCACTCAGGCGAGCCATACTGTGGTCTTGCGCAGTGGCGAGCTCGATTTTGTGTGTCTTGAACGACGACCGTAGTGGGGTAGGTAAGGTGTGACAGTTGTGTGCGCGAGGTGGTGTTGTCGTTGTCGCGATCGATTGAGCGAGAGTCACAGTGAAGGTGAGCCCGAGAAAGTTCGAACGCGCTAAAGTCAACGGAAATGCTCCTGGAAGAGGAAAATGAAGTGGCGCACGATTTTTTATAACGACTGATCAGCCCTTCGGAGTTGTGAATACAATTTCGCCATTGTGCTTGCTTGAATCGAGCCATTGACTCGATTGCTTGCACAATGACGCAAACGACGAACCGAACGAAGTCAAAAGACTGGAAATAATGACGAATCATGTATGAAGAGTCACCGCGCCTTTTTTAGATCGTTCTAGGTCAGCTGTCCTGATATTTTACCTTGTCAACCTTGCATTCGATCAAGGATTGTTATGACTATATTGTCGGCTACTGGTGGAGGGTTATTGGACCCATCAAGTTTGGGAGATCAAGATGAGAAGAGACATAGCCTGTGAATTCGCTGGGTGTGGGTGTTAGTTGTGGCAGTAAAAGTAGGAGCGTATGCTCCGGACTGCTTCTCATGTTGTTCAGCGCGATGGCGCTGCATATCGTGTAGCGGACGAGGGCTGGAACAAGTTGCTTGATCACAGCTGCTCCAGAAGAATAAAGGTTACAAGACCTTCCCTGGAGATCCGTGTGTAGTCTAGGGTCGTGTATGAAGGCGGTGCGTCCCGACGGCCACATAGGGTAGTCTGACGGATTATGTAGGGCGATGGCCCGTGCACTCTCTACGCCTTTGCGCTACTGTCTTTGTACATCCTCGAACACCATCACCATATCGCGATAGCACGAGCGGTTTTCCAGGATAACATATCGCGCAAAGCCATCCCTCAACGTATCCCACTTGCATGCTTCTCGTGAGGCATTACGATACCCGAGGCCTGGAGCGACAACACGTAATGTCGCCTTGATCGTTGTGTCATCTTTGGTGTTCCGCATCTTTCGCAGATGTTCGTACCATCATGTTCTCGAAGTTGATATGTTCTACGTGAGAGTCCACAGTATGCATAATCCTACCGCTTAGCATTCATAGCTGCTTGGCGCCAGCACGGTACTCATTCATAAAATTCGAATACAATCCGTTCATCCAGCGCATCGGTTTGGAACCGTTTGATGGCTTAGTCAACTTCAGAATGAAGCCATCGTTGCTACTCATCTTCGCCGGCCTCAGCTCAGTGGCTTTGGCCAACGTCGGCACACCGAGTAGAGAGAGCCAAGCCCATGTGACAGGTAGCACACCGGGCGCCGCCCAAGTCAACATGGCCATTGACGACGCGCATATAGCACAGGATCCGATGATGATGGGTGCCATGCCCTCAAGTAACGGCGACGACTCACCTCGCCATCGACAAGAGAAGGCGCACCTCCTCAAGAGGATGGATAAGAAGAGCGGTAAATGGGGCACGAGCCATCCGCGATACCGACTTCTCGAAGCATTGTGGGCATATACCAGTTACCGCGAACGTCACATGGCCGAGTTGGACCGATGGCGAAGCTTGTACAAAAGCACTGGAAAGAAGCAGAAGAAGGTCAGCTGACCATGGACGTCGTTCTCGCAATCGCTGATGATGCCATAGGTGTTGGAGAAGGCGGTTGGCTATACAAAGAAGCTGGACGAAATCGAAGAACTGATATACGTCAACGCGGCTGTCTCGCGGAGCATCGCTCGTCATGCGATGGAGTTCTACGGTATCGACCAGGCGGAGTTAGACGAGCACATCAAGCAAGCCGAGAAGGACAAGCGGCAAGCAGATAAATTTGCGACGGCGCAAACATTAAAGCATTTCGTACGAGATTGGGCCGACGAAGGTCTCAAGGAGAGAAATGAAGCCTTTCCATGCATCTTGAGCACGTTGCGCGCCATTAGAGCAGAGTCTCCAAATGGTGCATCTCTCAAAGTACTGCTGCCAGGCTCTGGAGTCGGCCGGCTGGGTCATGATGTTGCAAATCTTGGAGGTAAATTTGTTCTAAACCGTGTACGGCACAGCTACTGACCTTGTAGCAGGGTTTGAGGTGACGATCAACGAGTGGTCGATGTTTATGAACGTTGGTTATCGCTACATGGAAGCGCAAAGGCATGCGAATGCTGTCACCATACACCCCTTCATCGAAGCGATGTCGCACCATGCCACGAAAGCCGATATGACGCGAAGTGTCATAGTGCCCAATATGACCCCCAACCCCGCCGTACTGCTCGTCGAGGGCGATTTCAATACCGCCTTCAATGATCAGCCAGGCCACTACGACGTCATCGTCACTCACTTCTTCATTGACACGGCCCGCAATCTCATGGCCTACTTCGACACCATTCACCGACTGCTGAAGCCTGGCGGTAGATGGATTAACTTTGGCCCACTCCTCTATGGTACCGGGCCTTTTGTGCAGCTCAGTCTGGAGGAGATCATTAATGTCGTTGAAGAGTTGAATTTTGAGTTTGAGGACATAGGTAACGAGTGCGGTGAACTGACCTTCAAGGACAAGAAAGTTCGGAGCAAAGAGGCGGAGTACGGCTTCAACAGGAAAGCGCTGACTAGGTATGCGTACCTTGCGCAAGTATGGATGGTAAGAAAGACCTGAGATCTTTCGTGATACGGTGCGCGAAATGGTCTACGGCGCCATTAATCGCAGCCGAGTTGACAATAGAACGCTCTTCCAACCCGGAGGGGCATGTAAGACAAATATTAAGCGCGTACATATCAAAAAAGTGTTGCGCCCGAGGAACTGCTTGATGTTCGACCACTATCACATTTCGAGCGCTGATCGGACTTGGAGAAGGTTGTTGTATGGACAATGCTGCAAACACTGGGCGATAGATCGCCCCTCGAGACTTCCATTCGGCTGAGTGACGGAACAGCTAGCGAATTACGACCGGTAGCTGAGCGCGATCAGCGTAGCCTGAATGTGTCGAGTTTTACCAATCAGCGTTGAATCAATTAGACAGACTTGTCAACAATTAAGCTAAGCAAGCTAAGTACCCTAGCTTAGCTTAATTATATTATACCTATACTCTAGCTTAGCTTAGTTAGCTTAATAAGTTAAAATTAATAAGCTTAATTATTTAGCTTAATTAGCTTAATAGTAAAAGTATTTTTAAAGCTATATAAGTACTAGTATTAGCTATATTATAACTTTTTCTTAAAGTTAAGTTTCTAAATTACTATTAGAACTACTATTTCTAATGTTTTATATACTTACGCTATATAACGCCTCTATCTTATTATTAGTTATAGTATATTTACTATTAAGTTTATTATTACCTAAACTAGCTATACGCTACTATTATATATACTATATTACTACTAGAAGTTATTAGTTTAATTAACGTGCTAGTAATAAAATATAAGTATAACACTATTAAGTTATACTATATTATATTATAGTAGAAGTATATTTCTAAATACTTACTTAGCTTTACTATATATAGCTATATATATTCTTATTTAGAACTTTTATTAATTACTACTAAAGCTATAAATTTTATATAGATTTAGAGAGCTACTATAAAGCTTTTAACACTTAGTAGTTATTATAAAGCTTAATATTAAAAAAAGAGTATAGTTTAACTTATTAGAAAGAATTATAGTTAATAGTAAGTAACTAAGGTTTTAAACTATAGAATTTAAATTTTAAAAAATATTTAAATATAAACTTAAATA